TGCAAGATGTTTGGTAGTGATTTGATTTAGAGCTTTTTTTAAGTGAAGCTATCATAAGTCATTGAGGAATCACAGACTTTTAAAAGTATACATTATCAAGAAGATAAGAGAAACAGCCCTCAGTACTAACAATATTATCTTTTACCAAAATTGATTAGTCCGTCCTATGTGTCTCAAATATTTTGAACTTACCCAGCATGTTAAAAGTGAGGCTGCTCTTTGAAGAATAGCTGCAAAAATATGAACTGGACAGAAAAGAGAACCCTTTATTTTTCTTTCTGCCCCCTAGTTTTCAGATGAGACAACATACGTGCGTGTAGGAGGAGGCTGAGTAAATGAAATGTGTGATTGTTGTAATACAATAAGAGGACTCATAGAGACAACTTTCTTTTGATTTTAAAATCAATTTTAACTGTACTAAAATAGAGATACATGAGATTCTGAAAACCTTTACCCAATCAATCATGTTTTCAGTCTGTATTTTGCAAATACCACAAATCCTAAACTGTATCACTTACTAGCAGATAAGTGGAAGTTAATGCACGTGCGCGCTCTTTGGATCTTAGCTCATGATGTTTCTAAACCTGATGGGGTGAAGTGAGCTATCAGGGGGCACCCACAAGGGAATAATTAAGTGAAAATGTCTGGGATTGGGTGTAAATGCAGTGGGAGAATGGGGGAGACCGCAGTTTGTTCTTGAGGGTGGCAGAGCTCCCTGAGGAGGGCGGCTTTGAATGTTACAGGTGCTGTTGAGTTGGTGACAGGGGAGCATTCTGGGCCAGGGAGGTGGAGCCTGCCAGGTAGTAGGAGCCACAGCAGGAGCGTGTGGACTGCACTGGGATTAGGAGGAAGACTTTCCGGTGGGGAAGATCACATTCAAGAGAGCAGGAGACCCAGGAGTAAGGCAGACCCTGCTGGCTGCACGTGGCGGGATGGAAATTCAAGCACACACTTTCTCTTGAGCTCCTGCCAGAACCTCATGGCTGCAACGCTCAAAGTGGGGCTTCAGCAGCTCTCCCTGGCCTGGCAGGGACTTGGAGCCTGTGTGGAAGCTGCAGGAAACTGGGTTGGTAGACACCTGGGTAGTGCTGCACTGGAGACGTTGGAGGAAGGTGTGGTGTAGCAGTGATCTGGGTGGTGACACGGAGGGACTGTGGCCAGAGACGCCAGTAAGCAGTTGGATGGGATGGCAGAAATATGTCTGTCTGTTTCCATCTCTTTTTGGTGTAGTGGTAAACATGTCTTAGGAGCTCTGTGTCTGTTACCTGAGTTGATACTTGCCTCTGCCTTTGTGAGAATGGTGTTTTGTGTCATTCCTGCTTCATAGGCAGAAGCAAGTTCAAGGGCTGACAGACTTGCCCTTGACTGACCGCCTGGCTTATTCCAGTTGTTCATCTCGCATCCACTGGGAGCCCATCCCAAACTGTGCTCCAGCCTTGGAGAACACAGAATTCTTTTGCCCAGACACCTGCATGCTCTGCTTGCTTGCTGGGCCTTTTCTTGTTTTCATGTTTCAGAACCCTTGACTGAATCCCCTCCTCCAAATTCGCAGTCCACCCCAGCTGCTCAGTGGGCATCTGGTGGCCAGCACATGTGCCAGGACATGGACCTGAAGTTCACCCTCAGACTTTGCCCTCCATAGCTCCTAAAATCTAGATAATCACTAAATTCCATCACATTAACCCTCCTAGCCATGCCAGTCTCACCTCTGCAGTGCACTCCAGTCATTGCTTTGTGCTGGGGCCTCGCTCCCTGTCTAGGGCCTGGTGTTTGGACAGTAAATGAGTAAGGAAGTGAATGGAGGGTAAGGGAAGGTGCAAAATGACTCGGTAGGAATGGGAGCTTTGCCTTCCAACTTCACAATGTCCAGTTGCTTCAACCAAACATGGGATCTATGACAGGCTGCTTCTAGGACTCGGGTCTTTCACCCACTGACCCAGGGTTCTGTCTGCTTCTCATAACATCTCACATCTGGGAAAGACAACCAAACCCACACTGACTGTCAGAGTTGGACAACACCAAATCCAGAGTGCTAATCCTTCTTTTAACAATGGTGAGGCAAATGTCAGAAAAGGTATAACCTATTTAAGTCCATTTAGATGGTTTGTTTTGGACAGAGTTGGAATCAAAAATCCCGTTTTACTTTTAGGACAGTAATGTTTCTTCTGTTTCATGACACCTATTCATCTTTGAAAAAATTTAATTATACTCTTAAGTAACATATAAGTTAAATACAACTTTGATTTATATTATGTCCTATTTTTACTACTCTCATTAACCTAGTTAGCCTTGATAACTTTATACATACTAATTATTTGCACTGTGTCTGTGGTTTTCTATAAACACTGTTGTGAATAAATGAATTTTAAAAATTATTTCAGCAACCGAAAAGACTCTTTAAATCTCAAAATAGCTTCTTGGTATGAAAGAAAGGAGGTTGAGGTTTGCTGCTTACCTAATAAAATTGAAAAGGTTGGCTGAATAGCTTGGACCGTTACTGGACTTTTTCTTATGGCCATCTTAAGCACTCATAAAAGTGTTTTTGGTCTGTTTAAAATTTTAATGCATACACAACTTAAAATCTTTGGAGATACTTGGATATCATTTTATGATCTACCCCAAGTTTGTAGTTCTGAATCCATTAAAAGACAGACCTGCTTGTAAATCCACAGGTATAGATAAGGAGTCACTTTGACTGAGCTGGAACCTTTTACAAATGAAATATGTCCATAGCAGAAAGAAAGGATGAGTTACTTTTTAAAAGCGTTTTCAGAAATTCTCATGATTCCTCTGGCATCACTTAGATGGGAGATTTTTAAGATGTGTAAAAACAAGCAAAAGTTTTGGAAAGAAAATTCTTAAATAGTAGCTAGCTGAGGGAATGAAGATTTTTTAGTTTTAAATGGCAAATTGTAAAGAAATTTTTAAAACTGTAACCATAGTTAAATAATACTGGGAATTTCTATGAGACAGAAACTGGACCTTTTCTTTTCAAATGGAAAACTTATCCTGGGCTTAAATCACTGCATTATCTGTAAATAAACATACACACAGAGATATTTTCCTTCAGATTGTTTCTTGACATTCCTGACAACTATTTTCCATGCCCCATTTTTGAAGAAATTTCTCTATAAAACCGTAACTCCACTGCATTATTTGCAACTATTATACAATAGTGAGATATACTTTTAAACAAAAATCTCAGAAATCAATTTGTTATTCTGTATATTAAAAACAAATCATTATTGTTCCATATTTCCTGTATTCTGAATAAGGATCAGTTTCTGATACTTGACCATTAACATTATGTATCACAAAGGTATTTGATTTATAAAACTATCTTGTCAAAGCCTGGACCTACTGCATCTTTCTGGATTTTTTTCCTCACTACTGATCGTCCTTAGATATGGAAGCCCCAGGAGGGAAAGAGCTGAGGAGGGGGTGTCTGTGACTGAAGGAGCACTTCCATTTCAGGACTGGCATCAAGTGTAGAGGCAGGAGGGTGAGGGAGAAGAGAACCATCCACAAAGTGGAGGTTTTGATTGTGCACACGAAAATGTTCTCAGCCTGCATCTTCAAGTTGAGACAGATGAATTCATACTTCATAATGAGAGAACTTAAGCATTGCTCAATATGTGCTTCGTATAGTTTGATTTTGGTTTTTAGGAAAAGCAAAAATAAAAACAAAAAGTGTGTCTAGAATTTTAATTGTTAGGAGAGACTGACACAAATGCAGAGAAATAAAGGACAGATAAAATTGAACTCAGATTGATGGTATATACTTTTAAAATGTCAAGACGGACTCCACACAGCTGAATATAACTACCAGCTTGAAAAGAAGCCAAGGCAACAATTTTGTAATGTGTTACCTGCCATGACCTACGTATCACTTAGAGAATGGAATTGCTGAATGCATCCTATTCCATTTTGAATTTTCTTGCACTTTCTATTCTATATGGATTCTCATTTATACTTATTCCTGCTGAATTCTTTTGCATTTCTATATTGACTGAAGAACAGGCTGAGAATAAATACCATTTAGAAAACAGTAAACTATATTACTGAGATAATATTTTCAAGTACAAAAATTTAGCATGGTAATATGCAACAGTACTGTCAGTGAGCAAGAATCATCAATTTAATTATTTACAGAAAACAGAGAACTCCCAATTGCTGGTTGAGTTTTTTTTTTTTTTTTTCAATTTACCTCAAACCATGTTTAAGCCAGTGGCTACTATTTAAAGTTTTGAGAGGCCCTAATTTATTTATTTTTATGTTAATACATTTATGTATTTCTTAACAAACTGTTTAATGAATTCTCCTTTATACCTTTGTGGAGACTGTCTTTACTTCCTGTTTTAATGATTTCAAAATATTACCCTGGAGGAAATGCAAGAAAGAAGACAGTCCTAAACAACTTCTTAAGAGTTTGTCTTCCAACTCCTTTATAACATAGAATCCCATCCAGAATATCACATAAATAAAAGTAGTCATTTTGTGGAAACATTTTTTATTTGAGAAAATAAGCATCACTCACTACTTTCTATATGTGTAACTCTTTTATTCTTTGAACTTAGTAGCAATTTCAGAAGATTATCAGGTACCTCAAATACTGTCTAGGTGTTGTTCTCGAAGAATCTGAAGGAAATGTAAGCATTTTAACCCTCTGTTATCGTCTTAGTGTTTTCTGTCCATCTGTGTTGGCACTGGATCAGTGCTTTTTGGAGAAGCAGTGTGATTTGCAGTTCTTAGACCTCACCCCATTGATACTGTGTGTGAAAAGGTGCAAGATGGAAACTGCACTAACTTTGAACACAGTTATAAAGACGAGTTTCATTTCCCTCTCAGGATGACAAGATCAGTTGTTTTTCAGATGAACATAATAAATTCTCTTTGGTGAGTCCAGGAAATTCTGTACACGTAAAGCAAACAGAGGAAGGGGCGGCTCTTGCTAAGGCGCGTGTGAGGGTGTTCTGACCGCCTGTTCTTACTGTCTGCAGGTGAGCTGGAGGTGCTTCAGAAAGATGGGGAGCGGAAAATTCAAAGTCGCCAGCAACTTCCAGTGGGCACCACGTGGGGGCCGTTTGCCGGGAAGATGGACCTGAACAATAACTCCTTGGTATGTGGGTGTCCGAGGTGGCCGGCTCTTAGTCAGCCGCAGCTCAGCACTGGCCTCCGCTAGCTTCCCGGTGAAATCACTAAAAATAAGTTTGCTTTTCGCTGTTTCTGTGGACTGCAAAGCTTGGATACTCTCCAAGTGGCTTGTCTTTGGCAATAGTACATGCAGAGTTTAGAAGGAAATGGGTTACTCATATTAAATGATTGGCTAATAAGGTAATTTATAAGCTTATTGCTTTATCTGCTTAGCCAGAGTAAGACTGCTCAAATTTATTTTGTTTTTGTTTTGTTTTTTGTTTTTTTTTGGTTTTTCTCCGGTACCAGGAACCGAACTCACGACCTTGCGCTTGCCAGGCAGGCGCTTTGCCGCTGAGCTAAATCCCCAGCCCCAAGACTGCTCAAATTTAGTAATGTGCTCAATGGCCTTTATTTAAAAAATGACACAAACTAATTGTCATATGTTGCAAGTTTACATGAAGACTAAGAAATAAACAACTTTGTTATTCCTTGGTTATAGTGTTTGTGACTCTTAAGAGCAAGGATGGATGATTAACATTGTAATATTTTGTTAATGCTTTTTTAAAAGTTTTGAGATCAGAAAGTCTGTTGCATGGTCAGAGGATATTGATAACTGACTAATTAAATGTTTCCAGGGTTCTAGGATGATGTGATATTTGGTTCCAGGTAAGCTTTGCTGCCTAATTTGGTAGAGCTGTTTCCTGTTGCTGCTATAAAAACTGCCACAAATTTTGTGGCTTGAAACGTGTTATGATCTTGCAAGGTGGCTGCAATCCTTCTGGACCTATAGCAGAAGAGAGTCTGTTTTCTTTGCTTTTCTGCTTTCTTGAGGCCACCTGCAGACCTGGGCTTGTGGGCCTTCCATCTTTGAAGCCAGCCATGGCCAATGGAACTTTTCGTGTTGTGTCTCCACAGGGTTGTGTGACCTACACACTAACCCTGACCCCTGTCTCTTCTCTCTCTATATATTTAAGGTCACTTCTGACTCTGCTGGGTTTGCTTAGGAAATCTAGGCTAATTTTTGTATCTTAGGGTCAGCAGCTTGACCTTTGCCTTGTCGTAGAACGTTCCCAAGTTCCAGAGATTATGTCTTCCTCTCTGGGAGGACACTTTGCAGCCTACGACTGGAGATAAAAGTAATAGCTGAAAACCCTTTGTTGTACAGAACAATATGGGGAGAAAGCATTCCAGATCCCGTACATGGTCTGCAAGTTTTAGATATACAGCAAGTCCTCCAGGTAGGGACAAATTCCATTCCAGGAGAATTCTTCAGAAGTGGGATTCGTTAGTAAGCCAACAGAATGAGTCTTCACCAGTGCACCTCTGAAAATTCATAGCTCGAATGTTCAGAAGTTGAGGACCGTATTTATCCTGATGAAAGCCCTGCTGTCTGGATGCCATTTATGTAGGAAGAGTCTCGTGGCTGGTAAATGGCTTGAGGCTGCTGTGGGGATTTAACAACGCTCAGAGAGGTTCTGACAAAGTCTTGGATTCAGCAACACAATGCAGTGCTTCAGTACATTGCAAGAAAGAAATCCTTTCTTTAAGTTGTTACACTAAAGAGACGGCTGTGCGGCTATTCGCAGATTCCATTCAGTGCCATGTGGATGGGAGTGAGGGTGGGGGACGAGCTGAAAGCATTAATGGGTGTAGTAAGTAAGAATTTTGTATCACCAGACTTTCACACATTGTGTGAGATTCTAAGGGTGTGTTTCTCTCTTCCTATAGCAATGTGTTTATCTATAAAACAATAAAGAGGTCTCATATAGTATTCTCACGTATCAGTCTAAGTATGCAGTATATTTTAGTAAATTGCTGTGCATCATAAACATGGTAACAATAATAGTGTTTAGTGATATAAAATCAGAAGGAAATCCTCAAAAACAATGTTCTTTCAAAAAAAGGTTTTTAGGGAAGCAAATAAATTTTACAATGGGAAAAAAAGTGTTTTCAATGCTGAGAATTGAATCTATTGCCTTGTACACATAGGCAAGTGCTATACATTGATCTTCTTTCCATGTATTTTATTTTCCTTATTTTATATTTTAAGGCAGGGCCTCACTAAGTTGCCGAGACTGAGCTCCTTCTTAAGATCTTCCTGCTTTAGCAAGCGAGGACAGTCAAATAAGTTGACTCTGTTATAGTCCAGGCTGAACATCTAATACTCTGGGAACTTTATTCACCCCAGGTTTCATGGTGTGGCCCCACCAACACTGCATCTTTGGGGGTCAAATTGTGTGAGATGCTCTGTCCCATTGATCCAGTCGACAGGACCATTAGTTACCCTGACCTCTTCAGAGGCTGATGAGTGGTGAGGAGGGCCCCTAAACCTCAGTGGTGCAGGTACATGGTATTCTAAGCCCATTTCATGTGAGGGATCTCTTTGTTCCCTAGCACTGTGCAAATTGCATCTAAAGCCGTAGGATACTTATCACGGTACATCAGATACAAACATAACCCTTAGTCATTTCTCCGATATTTCTTCAAGACTATGCCATTGAAATGGCATCTAGATTTAACAACTGGTGGACATTTTCCCATTTACTCTGTGAAAATAAATCTATGTTAAAATGCAGCATTTGATTAATCCAGCTATCGCAGATAGATAGATAGATAGATAGATCTGTGACATTTGTTACCACATGCTAAATGGTGCACGTACAAAATCAACCATCTCCTGAAAGCTTAATTTTTCACTGAAGTCATTTCTTCTATGACATCATTTTGTTGTTTTAATATTCCAGTACCGCTGTAAAGCTATTTTATGCCATATTTAATATTTTAAATAATTCAGTTTGAATCTGAAATTCTCACAATTTTTGAGCACAGGAATACTCTTTTCTATTTTAAAAATTAAAAATAAACTAACAATACAGCAATGAAGACAAAAATCAAAACAACACAAAAACAACAAAAAGGTACAAGACATCAAAACAAAATGGCAGGAATTAACAATGGTTGCTACATTACATACTGTTATGTAGTGAAGTTGTAGTGAAGTTCAGTGAAGTTGCTCATTCCCCAGACATAAGAACATAAGATTAATCTAACAAAGACAGTAACAAGTAATAATAATTTTTTAAAAAGCCACTGGAAATGATGCAGAGCTTCACCATACAAGATGGTACGAGTTCAACAATGGTTCTTATACTGCATATTATTTTTTTCAGATTAGTCATTCTGATTACCAAATTAAAGCATGCAAAATTGGTCAAGAAAAAAGAAAATTTTAAGCATTGACTGTTCTTTCAATAAACCATAGACATCAATACCACACCTATTCCAGCTGTCCTTATATATAAAAAACACCCAAAATAACTCTTGACAGTATGAAGTAGAGAGTAGTTAATTCAAACAGCGCTGCAATTTTATTACCCACTAGCCCTTCCTTCCCCAGCCTTGGGTCAGACTTGAATTAGTACATGCTTTTGAATGGTTCATACACCAGCTGATATAATGCTACCCTGCTCAGGCTCATGGTGTCACTTGGGAGATTCAGCACACTAATTAATCCCACACAGTAATTAACTGAGTCACCATGCTAGATGTCAAATCCTTTAGGTCCCTGTCCTGAAACACATTCGCGGTATGCCCCCTTCTTTAGGAATCCCTTTGCAGACCAGGGACTGAGGTGTACGTAGAACATTTCCAAAAGCACAGGTGATGTGGAAACACCAAACACAGTGGTGTGACAATAACTCCTTTTTGGAATCATATAATACAGTGAAGATAGCAGTAGAGTATCTCTCACCCACATTATCTTGGTGGATGTGTCACTCTTTAAAAGTGGTAGTAGCAGTAGCAACATGCTAAATATATTCCTTGGGCCAAGTGCAGGTAAAAGTGCTTTACATAGTGCTTTATGTCACATTTAATTCTCACACAGCTCTAGAGAAAGTAAAATATATCTCATTTATTATGGATGAGGAAACCGCTACTTTGGGAATGAAGTAATTTGCCCAGGATCAGTTCTGTTTGATTCCAGATCTCACGCTACAGTCTTAGAAATGTTGCTTATAGTATAGGATTAAGGACACTATGTTGCTCATAAGGCTTTTTCAAAAAATAACTGAAATATCATATGAGAGTTTTCAACAAATGTCAAGTACAGTTACCAATCAGCCATCTGTACTATAGATTCCTTGAAATCTAAGAAGTTAAAAATTCAAAAAACTGTCCAGACTGAACAATAAGCACTGCAGACCATAGTCTTGGGGAGTTACCCATGCCTACATCTGACCATTTGCCAATGGCTTGCATTTGGATTCTCAGAGAAACAGAAACAAGATGATACATGTGGATATAGAAAAAAATTTTAGTATAAGGAATTGGCTCATGTAACTATGGAGGTTGGTTAGACCAAAGTCCTGAAGTCCACTATATGGCAACCCAGAGGAGCCCAGTCTACTTGTTTTATATTGAGACCTTCAGTTTCCTGGAAGAAGCCCATCCACATTGTGAAAGATGATTTGCTTTACCCAAAGTTCAGTAATTTAAATATGAATTTCACTCATACACACCTTCTGAGTTAATGCATAAAATCACCTATCACAAAATCCAAAGGTCTGTGATACTTTATGTTTCCATTTTTTTTGAGTTATGACCTTATACTCCTGAAAGAATTTATTGTCAGCAAGTAAATTTCTCTCAACCATTCCATTTCAGTGTTGGGGCAAAGCTAATATCACATACAATCATGGAAGAAAAATTAATTTGGCGTTCGTTTTTAAGTGTTGTGATTTTTATTCATTGAGAAAATCAGAGGACTACTGACATTTTTAAAGAACACTTCAAATTCCACTCAATATCTGCCTTGAAGGAATATTTTCTACTTTATATATTGTGCCTTTAAAGTTTTTCCTGTATTGTACCAAGGACAAAGGTCTTTGTAGTAAACTAAATCTCACCTGTACTAGCACATGATGGTACCTCGTAAGTATCAAAGAACAATGGTTACTGGAAAGGTTGTGTCTAGAATTTAAG